TTACATTTAAAAACAAATGTTCATTTTTAACCTCAAATGCTAATGCTGATATGAAACAGTTATCTGCATTCACTGCACTTTTTTTTTTTCTCTCTCCCTGATGTAGTTGAACCAACTGTGGAAGTTGTTGAAGTACAACATTTATAGAAAGAAAAGCAATTTCACAACTGAGAGAGAGAGAGAGAAAGAGAGAGAGACAATCACCCAATCACTGATCTCAATGACAGCCTTTTTTTTCTCTCTCTCTCCAAAATGTGGTGCACTGCAGCAGAACTATGGCATAACACAATATTCTTATTTCAGTGAGAGAGTTGGGTGAAGGGTTAAGGTCCCGAGGCAGGATGTCACCAGCAGCAGAAAAGGAGAGGATGGGGGGGGTAAAAAAAAAAACCAAGCAGCTTAGCTTTTATAAAGCTATAGATTTAATTTGAGGGACAGTTTGGAGAGATTCTGCATTGCAGTTGGAGAAGACTTTGGGTCCAGCCTATTCTTGAATAGAATATTTTTATCCCAGCACCTTAGGATGTGAAAGGCACGCGACAAATGTATTGTTGTTGTTGTTGAAAACTGCTCTAAGTGCAGACACAGCTGGCCAAGTGAGTTCTCAACCTCAAACATATTGAACGAGCAACAACAAATAATACTGGATTGATTCTCTCCTCCCCGTGCCCGACGAGGACATATCAGAAATAGCTCTCCAGCACCAACAAATGACCCAACTTCCAACAGTTAACTGTAGGTAAACATTAATGGAATAGGTTGGCACTCTATAAATGTGATTTTGTTGTTGTTGTTATCTCGACTTGTAAAATCATATTAAAAGATCAGATATGTTTGAACACAAGTCCTCAATAAAAACAATTTTGATAGTGTTTTAGGAAAACTATAATTTACAAGTTCCCTTGGGAACAGAGTGCTTTATGGTTGATATATTTCCAGGTAAATACTTCTTCTCTGAGTGCATTTTTTTTCAGGCTGGCACTTGATTGTTCAGGAGTACCGTAATGATTTGCTTTTTTTTTCCCCCACAAAAGTAATCATTGTTTAGCACATTGTCACTCAGAGGTCAGGACCATTCTTAGTTCAATGCAGAATGCAACCGTGTTGCACTGAAAAGCTTGATGACAGCGTAAATTAAGTTCTTAGAATATATATGATGTGGCACTACAAATCACCCAACTGATTAACTGGCTCGAACTCTGGGGAGAGGAATCATTAAACTGAATGGAAATCCTCCCACTATCAGTGAGAAGCAAGCCAGCAAATATAACTCCGACAAGCAATACTCTGCAGTATTTAAAATGTTTTTCTTTTCCAAAAATATTTTCTCTCGCTGAAACTAAACAGGGACGAGAAAATCAAATTCGTTTTGATAGATTTTAGTCTTTTCACCCTGAAGACTTAGTCTTGTTTCTTTTTTTTTAAAAAAAAAGAAAGACCCTTTTAGTTAAAAGGTTTCTGGTAACAAAGAGGTATTCTCATTCTTTATACGAAGCAGATTTATAAGGCCCTAAGGTTTAGTTAAAGTGCTCCTTATTCTGTTAGTGGGAGGAGGAGCAACATCATCTGGAATAAGTATTATGTATTCTTTCTCCTATTGCAAACACGTTTGACCTCCTGCAATCCTAATGTCTCTGCAGGAGCTTTGAGCTCAAAACTTCCCGCTCAAAGCTCAAAATAGCTTTGAGCGGGAAGTGCTTTGAGATGGCTTCCCCACGTGAAAGACGCTATAAAAATGTATATTGTTGTTGTTGATTATAATTTCTAAATTATTTTGAAATCGCTGTCGGCCAAACTGAATGAATTGGCATACATTAGTTAACCTCTATAGGTGTCTAGTGCAATTCTGATCGGAATTTGCCCTTCTCGTGTGTAAAAAATTTATAACCGCAGCTTTTCAATAGGTTGTCACTTTTCCTGACAGAAACAACCGTCTTCAATCCATCCTCATCTGTGAAACGGAGCTCTTAAGATGCCTATTGCTCGTATCTGATGATTTGAAACTCTTTTTTTACACAAAACCTGTCCTCTAACAGTTGTTTATCATTGCAAGAGTGTGTTTTATCCTCCCTCTGCTCTTTGAAAACCTGTTCATCCTTCTTGCTCAACACAGAGCTTAAAAACAGAAACTTACAACAGTTGAAATCATGACCATAAAATTGCTTTACCGTCAACGAGCTGGGCAGGTACTACAAGCAGATCACGCTTCTGAGTGTTTTTCTTCATTACCCGGTAAACTGTTCATGAATTTCTTTTCCCTCGTATTAGCATTTGCTAGGAGTGAAGCCAGCTAACCTACCGCCAGGCATTCGGCAATATTATATTACAATACCACAATACTGGCAATATTATACTGCAATACTACACCCAGTACTATATTTTCCCAGTTTGTGGTCTTGCTGACCTCTACTAATTTACCCCCCACTTAAAAATGCAGGAAATTACAAGGAATTGATTCCTCTCATAAGCTCTGGAAGATAATGTGTTGGAGGAGCACTACAATATTGCTGTCTATTTTATTTATTTTTAATAAGGTTAAAGTGACCCAGTATCTGGAATGAAAGAAATAGAGTGAAAAGGAAATCAATGCAATCCATCACATCAAGAGGAGGCTTCCCTCCCCAACTACGGGACAGATGGGAATATTGGAAATGCTGTTGAGCACTAAGAGGAACTATAGCGTAGGTTATAACCATTGACTGTCTCTGTGAACGACAGCTCAACCGTGTTCCCATTATTGCTGCTGTTTGTGCACAGTTGGAGATGCTGACTTTCTCAGTTTGCATAGATTTTTTTTTTTTCAGCATTCAAATCAGCACGACCTCTCCTCAAACAGTCAGGGAAAGGATCAAATTGGACATCAGATTCTATGAATTTTGACTATGTTGCATCTTAATGCGAAGCAGTATATTTCAATTTACAAGCAGCCATGTATCGATTAGGTTGTTGTGATTAATTTCTGTCTGTGCTTCTATTGTCATTAGCTCAGGATTTTTCCTTTGAGACCATCACTAATTTTATGCCCTTTGTATCTTGACCCCCTTGAAGCACCTTAGGGGATCTTGCTAGAGGGGCTAGCTTTCAATGCCTGCCAATTACATGAATCTATTGAAATGTATTTTACTGTCCGTCAAACAAAAGGGGCTTTGAGAGTGTCTGAGTGATTGAAGTAAGACCGTGTTTCACATTTAAATTGAACAATAATTCTGAAATGCCGACAGCTGGTTCCTGGAATGATAAAAATAAAAACGAAACTCGGATTAATCCTATTAATCTACTTGTATAAAATTGTGTGTTGATTGATAGCCCATTGGTATGCATTGAATTGATTCCAGATAAGTACAGTCTTTGTGTAGTGATATATATTTTATATGTATATAAAGTGACAGACTCTAAACGTCATGCATAAATAAATATTTTTGTTGCTTTAGCTGCAGTGTCAATAAAATCTCTTTTAAACTGTTTAGTACAACTTTTTTGTATCACACCCAATCATTGTTATAAATCATTCTGTATTCATTTGTCAGTTGCCCAAATGCATCATCTATTGTGAATAGCACAATGGGCAAAACATTTCACTTTGCTAACTTTGGGAGCCATGGTGGGATGCATTAACAGGTGCAGAATATTAGCAAATAACATATATGTTTCACCCACAAATATACAGTCAATTCACTTTACAGTATATTCTGTGAAGCGCTTTGAGACGTCTCGAAGACGTGAAAAGCGCTATATCAAATGTAATGATTATTATTATTATAACCCCCTGCAGTTTTTCTGCAATTTGTGACATTCCACCACAATTTTCCTCAGAATTTTCAAATCTCCCTGCAATTTTTTGGCAAATATATCCGCACTTTTTTTATTGGCCCAGGTCATCAGCAGTTCTCACTCCACTTGAAATAGCATTTATCCATCAGCTGTGCTCTCTGATAAAATATTGCTGATGGGAATATAATTAATTCATGATTCAAAATAAAATCAATGCACCTTCAGCTCGTGTAGATAGGCAGAGTATCCACAGAGCCGTAGGTTAACGTGATGTTGGTCAGTTTATCAGAGGCCATTATATTCCCCCCATGACAGCAAACAGAATAACAGCAAAGTGATTTAAAACTTGTGGAGGCAATCAATTTTGGTTTGGTCAGCCAGGTGTTTGAACCTCACAGAAAACCATTACCGTGTTTAAGACTGTCCACATCAAACTGAGTTCCACCTGTATGTGCTACCCATGTGCAGTAAGATTTACTTTTGTCTGGAAATGGAGGGTGTACTCTCCTCCCACCCCCCAAAGGGACACATTCAGTTTACCCAATTCCAGAAGGTATCAGTCACAGGTTCGCTTATTTACAGTTACTTTTATAATGTGCAAACAATGCTCTGATATCTCAGTGACTAATCTGACACCAGAAGTTGCATTCTTACCCCCCCCCCCACCCCACCACAATATACAGCCTGTGATGCCAACAAAAACATCCATCTATAGGGTTCAGGAAAGTTTACAGAAGGCCAAGAGAGTGGGGACTGAGTGGCATAAGTAGTTGGAAAATAATATTTTTGACAGCTAAAATTATCTCAAGCCAGACTGATTAGATGAAAGCTCTCTCTCTCTCTCTCTCTCTGTTAGGCTGAAATTAATTTGGACAGTCTTAGACAAGTGTATAACAGGGATGTAGTGGTAAATTAGTGCCAAATTGGCAATTTCACAGAAAAATGTCTTGTGGATGGCTGGCTATGAGGAAATGGAAATGTCAGACCGGCACAATGGGGGATGCTCTATCTTCATATTAAGATACCTCTTTGTCTCCCATTGATGTAGAAACTAACATTTCTCCATAATCCTTAAAAGAACCAGTGATAAAAAGTATAATTGCATGTCTAATATTGAGAGGGACGTGCACGCTAAATGAGGCACTGTAATAATCCGGCTCCACTGATGTAAACATAACATTCGTTGTTTTATTGTTTGTTTTCTTTAGATTGAAAGAATGGTGTGTGGTGTGTTCAAGTGGTGCCAATGTGTAGTTGCCATCTGCTACCTCGCGAAAGTGGTACATTGTTTGAATCCCGATGATCCGAATGTGTGCAGTCACTGGGAAAGGTAAGGCTAACATTATAACGGGATTTTCGTGTACATTATTTTAAAAGAGTAAGGTAGCTCTCAGCATCAGTTGGAAAGTAGAATCTTATACGAAACGTTTATCAAGTGATAGTCATTGTGTGTTTGGGAGTCGTTCGAAGCCAATTTCGGTTTCACCTGTGGAACCTCAGCAACGGTGCATTTCCAAGAACCTTTGCTGGAATGGTATCCAGCAAATGGTATCTTATTTGAAATTTATTTATCTTATTTGCCATCTCTAAATGAAAGGGATTGAGATTCAATTGTGGCCTTCGACAACAATCTACCAACTAAAATATAAAGGTTTAAGCATAAGGTTAGTTACATTTGAAAACTCTAGTGCTCACATTCTGAATGAATTGATAAAAGAATGAATGAAATCAAATGAGTCTGGCTGGTTAAACTGAATAATATTTTTTTGCTTCGATTTGTTTTGTTTAAAAGCACAGTTACATGTTTAACAGGAGCTTTGGCATCGTTGCAATAAAGTATGAAGAAAACACCCACTTGATCAAGTTCCTATTGTCAGTAGATTTCATTATCATTTATTGATACCATTTTGGTGTGTGTTGGTTTCACTTGTAGGTCCTAATCGGAACTGAAACAACTGGTATATGTCAGTGAATCAAAAAAGTTACTTCAAAAGCGGGGGGAAAAAAAGCTTTAAAGCTTATCTGATAACTTTTTTCCTGATCAGAGCATATGAAATAAAGTGTGAGTCATGAGATATTGGTTTAAAATAGCATTTATTTTACGAATTGGTTAAACTTAGCTTGTTCAAGCAAGAGAGGAATTAATCATTGGAGTTGTTCTTGGTTTGGTAATTACTAAGGAAACAAATCTTTGTTTCAAAAGAAACATTTGCAAATCAAAAGCACAAATGCAGAGTATTGATTGAAGGGCGAGTATGAGCCCAGCATTCCAATCAAGAAAAAAGCTAGATTAAGTACCTGTATTGATTTGCTGTATGCCGTGTGATGCTTTGTCACATGGATATTAATAAATCACATTGCAGACGGTGGGTTTTCTTTCAGTTTGGGGTAAATTTTGATTATTAAACAGTTCTGATAATCTGCTTCCTCTGCCCCAAAGAAAGGTTTGCTTCAAAGAGAAAAATCAAACAATTTCTGGGAGCAGTACGAAGCCACCGCACACTGCATCTGGAAAAAAAATGCAACACTGAATAGTGGGAACCGCACATAGTTGTCAGATCTCAGTTGTATCATCGAGGACTGGACGGAAGCCAAGCATTTCTGCACAAGAATGATGGCGATTCAGAGGGGATTTTGTCCTCCAGCCAACTTGGATCAGGTCTATAGGTCACTGCTATGTGGCATAGGAGACATCAAAGAGAACAGAGGAGTAACCAAAGAGATAGTTTACAAAGAGGAATGTTCCAATAAACATAATTAACTTTAATCTCCTTTGATTTTTCTCCCCTGGTCCGCCGATTCAATTGTTTGAAAATGTAAGTGGGTTTCCAAGTAACTTGGAAGATACCGAGAATGATTGTGTGATGTGATTTGACTGGTAAAAGATTTTTAAATGGAAATATTTTTGAGTTTTTAAACTTGGCATTGAGGAAACTGAGCAACCTACTGTGCACAGCTTAACTAAGAAAATTATTGAATGATCCAGCGTAAATTATAAATAATTGTTGATGCTTGAGCTCTTCAAAACTAACACACGTGATGACAACTTGGGTGTCCTCACAATATTTAGTTTAGACGTCAGGTTTCTGACGGTAATTACTTTAGATTCACCGCTTGGATATATGTCACAGTGATCTGGGGATAATGTAGTCTTCCTCTCGTTTGGTAAATTAAGAAACTCATTTTCTTCTTGTTTGTGCACTATTAGTAGTTTGCCGTGCATTAAAACTATTCTCTGTGTTTTGTATTCTCAGTTATGCTGTTACTGTTCAGGAATCTTATGCGCACCCCTTTGACCAAGTCTACTATACCAGATGTACTGACATCCTGAATTGGTTTAAATGTACCAGACACAGGTTAGTTTTCGTGTTCGATCTTACAGATTGATATGAGGCCAAAAGTATGAAAAACGCTTTGCAGTCGATGATTAGACATTTCCGTTTTTGACATACGGTTCACATGCCAAGAAAAATACAATAGTTATATTGTACATTTATATGAAAATGGGCTAATTGCCTACAATTGGATGTTCTGATTATGCTCACACACAAATGAGCACTTGTAAAAGGAAGTTTGAACCAAGGGAATTGTGAAGAACTTTGCTATGCCATCTGAATCTTTACTTATAAAAGAGGATATGACACGTATCCAGACGGTGAATATAAACTGGGTTTACATCGGAAAACGTTTTAAATCCTTTCCACGTGACACTAATTGTTAACTACGGGAAGTGTTACACTTACGAGTTTCTGAACTGTTCCATTACAGAATCAGCTACAAGACAGCTTATCGTCGAGGCTTGAGAACCATGTACAGGAGAAGGTCCCAGTGCTGCCCTGGATACTATGAGAATGGAGATCTTTGTATCCGTAAGAACATTTTCAATGCATTAACCCTTAGAGAACCTAAAGTAGATTGTTGCTGGATGTTGAGCCCTTCCCCCAATTTGTTCAGAGGTTTGTGTCTCACATTTCCTCTTTAAATTGTTGTTACATCTGTCAGTCGGCTCTATTTATATTTAATTCTTATAATTGACCAGAAACTGGTCTTTGTAGATTGGAATCCAGTTATCTTTGAACAATAATTAATATTTCACTTCTGACTACAGTGACAAGTTGTAAGTTATTGTTAATGTTATCAATGTAAAATTGTATTACTAGAGCTCCACCACAGTAATTTTAGTATTAGTATTAGTGCATTATCCTGACTAACTAAGAGTGGTTGCCACTTATATGCATTTGAAGTTAAAACATATTGCTGCTCAAACAACTCAATACCTGACTTAACCTTTGATCCCAATCCCATCAAAAGTGTTCAGAAGCTTCCAGGTTTCTAACAAAAATCCCTTCCTCCCTCCTCATAAGGCTGGGCTTTAATTCAAGATAAAATAAACATTCAGAATGTCAAGAATTCAGTTCAATGGATTTTCAAAAGCATAAATTATTCTTGCAGCAGTTTGGATTTAATTCATTTCATTTATTTTCCTGCTTTGTCTGCTTTGCAGCGTGGAGTGAAAAAAATCACTTTGCTGAGTTTTTATTTGCCTCTCCACTGTATTGTGTTAGATCTTTAAAGTTCACTTGAATAAGCAGCAACGGAACAGTTGCTCTAACTGTATTGGAGTAGCTACAGTGGTCCATTAGCAGGCCATATTGTGCTAAATTGGCAGATAATCAAGTAATTGTCACTAAACCACTTGCACAAGCAGCGTCCCTCCACTTTACAGTAGTATGAAGCACTTTGAGAAGTCTCAATGACGTGACCTAAAGCACTATATCAAATGCAGAGATTATATTAAAGATCCAAAGGGCTTTTTGATAGTTCAGATGTCTTGGATCTGTCCAATATCCATTGTACTCCAAGGGAGGACAGAATTTAAAATAATCACCTTGCGTTTCGCAGTTGCCCAATCAATCAATCATGGTGCAATGGCATTATATGCAGAATTTAAACTGACATCCATATTAATTCATGCAGCTGTCACTCCCAATGTTGTGTATAATTGCAGGCAAGTTTGTGCAGTCACTGTATCACATTTGTTTGAATAACTGTTTTAAAGTTGCAAGCAGCAAATGTACTGTGCAAATATTTGAAGAGGAAGAAAATAAAAGATGAGGTGAAATAAGAGAAAATTAAGATTATTTGGCTACAGTGGATGCACTAGCTCCAACCAGATGGTCTGAATGGCATCCTCCTGCACTTCAGTTATTTTGATTCTATTCATTTTGTTGGGATTGATGCTTTGGTTGTGAAGTGGGACTGTACAGTGATGGGAAACCACTTTGTTGCAAGGATCTGAGAGAATAGGCTAAAAACGTACCTATTTTGGTAGTGATTGTTGCCTCTGGTTATTTTATAACTTTGCTTCCAACTTTAGAGGTGCCGTTGGCAAAGCTTTAATATAAGTGTGGTATAAAACTGTTCCAAACACATTTCATTTGGGAACCTTATAGAAATCATGTCGAGAATTACACCGGCCTTTATATTACACAGTGAATTTCACAGCCATGGAATGCTATATAGGGAAATAAAAATTGATTTTCCAATGGCACTTGGAAAATGAAAAGGCTGATAAATAACTGTCAGTTTGTTTGCTGTTTCCAGTTTTGTTCTGTGCAGAAGGGCAGAAGTATGAAAACAGGAATAAGTAGCAGACGAGCAGCAAATGCAATGTCGCCTGATTGTGACAGATTTTGCAGCCAAGTGTACGTCAGTGTGAAAAAAGACAGAGCGTAAAAATGCAATAAGTACATTTTCATTGCAGTATAAATTTACTGCAAAAACGTCTTTCTGAGCGGAGGAAGGAGCACTTATTATGTGTTGGGCAGGTATTAGATCCCCCTGCAAAATATTAATGCAAATCAGGTGTTTTTTTTAAATTTCAAATAAGATGCGTCAGAAAGATTAGAATGGGCTTGTGAGAAATGATTGGGATGGGTTAGGAGAGGAGTGGCGAGGAGGTAACATCCAAATCAGTGAAATACTTCTTTCTGCACAAATGTTTGTAGTTACACTATGTGCCAAGTCTTATCTGATTGCACAAAATTGTGGACTTTCCTGATGTCAAAATATTTAGAGCCCTGTCATGAGAAGTAAGATATAGTTGGACAGTAGGGAAAAGGGATAAGGAATATTGACCGTGTATAAAATTTATGTTGGTATCTCGAACAACATTTCCGCCCTATGAATGACCATAAAGCATTTGACCCAATTCGAAACAGAAGAGCTGAGGATCAGTCATGGCGAGAAGTACCAGTCACAGCTGTTATATATTTCCTAGACTTTGTTTATCTGTGGTTTGGGGCAAAAAAAAAGGAAAAGCAGGCACTGATTAGACAGAGTGCCTTGAGACAAACTATAGAGGTCTCTTTGTTGTCATTTCACTCTTTGTGAGGTGCATTTGGAATAGCAACTCTCAATAATGAGTCAGGTCCCCAGATACCGCAGCAGTTGGAAAGGTTTTAAACCGCTCTATTGAGCACATTCATTCGGTAACAATGAATTTTCACAAAAATCTTTTTTTTTTAAAAAAAAAAACACGTTCTTGTGAAAATTCATCGAAAAGATTCCTTTCAAAAGGCAAAAGCTTTAACAGAAGAGCACATTAAAGATGCAATAATAATAATAATAATCCTTGCATTTGATATAGCGCTTCTCACGTTTTCTAGACGCAATACCCACACAGCTTTCATTAAGTTGTTCTATTTCTATTCCCTTTCCAATTCATAGATAGGTTCTGTAGTTTTTATCTTCGTAAATATTTTCTCTCTTAACCCACGTTTAGTGGTTTGATCAAATACAATCCTTAGAGGCTAGACAGCAAACCAGCACTAGCCCTTTACCAATACCGATGTATGACCAAGTACTAGCTGGTAATGAATGGGAGTGGAGCCTAGTTGAGAATTGCCCTCAAAAATGTTCCCCAATTTCCAACTCCTACAAACAATACCTGGTCTCTGCTCAGTGCCTCTCCCTGAAAACATGGACTCACTGATGGATATGAACTGTATCTGTACAAGCAATGCTTATTATATTCAATGCTCCTTATTGACACATTTTTGTTTTCTATTAATGTACATCACATTTCCAATCGCAATTTTCATCACTTGTCAATAACAAGGAAATTTGGGGCAGAATTCTCCTATTTTCCAGCAGAAATCAATCTAATTCGAAAGGAAATTGAGCTTTGCTTATTTTTGACTAGGTTTTGAATTTTCATAAAAACAACTACAAAATGTAGTCACAACACTTTTCGGTAAAATGCTGTGAAGCTCTTTGAGACGTCTTTCCAATGTAAAAGGCGCTGTAGTAAATGAAAGATTATTATCACTGTTGGTTTGGAAATAGTGCAATTTCACTGCTTATTTGTATACATAGCTGGTAGATACCAATGTCATGAAATGACCAAATTAGTTATTTTTCCTCATCATATACAATGAATTCCTGTGGTTTGTTGCTTTTTCGAGCATTTGGCCAGATATCATGTGTATCGTAATGTCCCATCATTCCACAGAGATGTATTGTCCTGTATCCAGACAGACTACACAAAGACCACACATAATGTATATTAATATCAGCTTGACTCTTGTATTGGATTTTATTGACCAAAGTATTGCTTGCTGTTAACAGTAGATATAAATCACTGAGTAACTAGACCCAGAAGACTCTTCGATTAAAGAGTGAATCGTTACCATTGAAACTATGCTTTTTTTGAGGGCATGAACTCTTAGAAGGCAGAAGTTTTGCCTTTATTCCACAAATGCCTACATTTTTAATGACTAGTATGAAACTGATACATCTTTATCTTCTTTCATATTGTGTTGCTGGGAGTTTGAAATGCGCTGTCAAAGTCAAAGTCCTACCACATGTTGAATCTCCGTGGCTTTTTCCATTATCTACATTTTGGAAGGTCTTGGAAAATGTTAGGGTCAGTGTTAGCAATATCAAAGCAGTATTCGGAAGCACAAATTGCATCAAGGTCTGGTTTCAACCATTGTGTTAAGTGCGACAATGCCTCAAAGTCATATCAGGGAACAATTTTTGCTTCAAGTGCTTGTCATTAAGCCATGCCACCAAGAATGTGTCTTATATGTCGGAGCTTTTCTGACTGGATCCAACATAACTGGAACTCAAGATTCTCAGTGTATAATTGAACCTAGTCACGTGCCTCATATTCACCTTCCATTCAGACATAGGTGACACTTATCAAAATGCAAAGTTGATCCTGTGGTGAAGGTTCACAGGGGCTGGAACAAGAACATGTCCTTGAAGATTTTCATTGACAGTTTGCAATGACACAGTTCTGTGTAACGCATTAGACAGGCATCAATTGGTAGCATATTTGACCTTCAGAGGCCATGGATTTCATCACCAACATTAATGATTGGAGGACTTCCTTATTGTTTGCCTGAAATGAAAATGACATTCCCATTATGGATCCAGATTCGATGGATTTTAAACTCGGGTCCCAGAGGGCGAGACCCTTTCTGACTGCCTCACAGCTCTCCCCTTCTGTGAATGATGCATTTGTTGAATTTTGTGAGATGTTACGCTCTCGATGTGTACATAATTTGTGACTTATTCTTCATTTTTTTTAGCACAAAATGAATTATTATTTATAGAATATTTTATTTTTATTATCCAATGTCAATATAGGTGGAAGATAGGTGGCAGTGGCACATCACTGGTGACCTAACCTCTATTAGCTTCACGTTGGGAAAGGGAACAATTTATTTAGTTTTAGATTCCTGTTTAAGATTTCCATAAAATCCTAATAGTGATGGAGGAAGGACGAGGCAGAGGAACTAAACAGAGAAACACAGGGCAGATCAAAAGAACAGTCGGATAGAGGAGAAGACAAAACTAGGAG